AATCTGGGAAAATAAACAAAAGTAAGTGACTCACGAAAATTCCTTCAAAATGAAATTGAATTCTGGCCGTGAAAATTAATTTTTGGTACTTAAAAGTTAAACCAGCTTTCTGTGTCAAATGATTAAAAACATTTCATTATTTAGAAAGGGCATTTGAATAAACGATAGAAAGCATTTACAAATCAATGGGATATTATTAGTAGATTAATGTGAAAGTAAGTTCACTTTAATATCTCCAGGCCAGAGGCTTTGTCCAAATGTCAAAATAATCCTTTATATTTCTGCCAGAGCATTAAAATAACATTTAGTAGTGTGTACATTAACTATTTATTCATGCAACTTTTAAAAATACCTTTTTATAACAATGAGAACTTTCAAATTATATTGTTTTGTGACATCAAAACAAAAACAAATGTACCACTAAATTTCAGTATACCTTAAAACATTTGATTTTTAATATTGAATGCCTTCTGTTTGATAATTTCAAACATTAGTATGATTACAGAAATTTATTTCCATGCAATAGTTTTCCATTAGAATTGATCAGGATGGAATTTAGACAGGTTCAGAAATTTCTTTTTTCTTTTCTTTTCTTTTCTTTTCTTTTTTTTTTTTTTTTTTTTTTAACAGGCAGAGTGGACAGTGAGAGAGAGAGACAGAGAGAAAGGAGAAAGGTCTTCCTTTGCCATTGGTTCACCCTCCAATGGCTGCCGCGGCCGGCACATCGCGCTGATCCAAAGCCAGGAGCCAGGTGCTTCTCCTGGTCTCCCATGCGGGTGAAGGGCCCAAGCACTTGGGCCATCCTCCACTGCACTCCCGGGGCCACAGCAAAGAGCTGACCTGAAAGAGGAGCAACCGGGACAGAATCTGGCGCCCCAACCGGGACTAGAACCCTGTGTGCCGGCGCCACAAGGTGGAGGATTAGCCTATTGAGCCATGGTGCCGGCCGTTTCAGAAATTCCTAACACTGGAGCGTGGAACCTGAAGCTCGTCATTATATTGTACTAGGGAAACCATCTACATTATCTTCTGCTTATAAGTATTTGTTGCCTTCTTTCTTCCTGTCCCTGTCTTCTTCCTTCCTGAGAGAAGACGTGTGCAGAGAAGGCTGTGCTTCTTTGAGAAGGAAATGCTAGGAAGGATGCGTGCTACATTCACTGAGTGCTGCAAGACACATAGGATCATGCTTGACACTGTGCTGGAGGCAAAGGGGTGGATCAAGCCGAGAATCATATAGGATCTAAGCAGCAAGTGGTAGAGCTGCTTCGCAAAGCCAGAAAATGAGGAAAACTAAACCAGTGCTAGAGAGAGGCAGGAATAAAAATACCAGCAAGAATCATAAAGAAGCGTTGTGCACAGTTACCACTATAATCCCTAGAATTAGAAAATTAGAACATACTTTCAAAATCATTTAGTTTAATGCTTGCCAAGATCCTTTACTGCATATAAACAGCAGTACTAGAAGCTATCATACTAGAAGCCTATCATGAGTTTTTTTTATTTGTTTGTTTGTTTTTAGTTTATTTGCTAGGCAGAGCAATAGAGAGAAATTCTCAAACATCTGTGACAATTTCTTGGGGCCACACTGAAGCAGAATTGGGATTCAAACTCAGAGACTCAGACATGGGATGTGGGCATCTCAGGCAGCAACTTAATGGCTGCAGCAAATGTCAGCTCTCTATCATGATTCCTGAGAAATACAAATGGATCCTAGATTTAGTTATACAGTGGTGGCTGTTGGATATAGTTATGTAGCCATGAGTACTGTACTTAAGTATATAACTTTAGAATTTCCAAAGCATTTTCATGCTATTATACTATACAGTAATTCATTTAACCAGGTAACATCACCATTAGTATTTTAAGGATGAGGAAGAGCCACTATTCAAGGTTATTTGACTGATTTGTAACAGAGCTAGGACTGGAGCCTAAGCACAAATAATGAAATCATCTCAAAGAATGGTTGCAGTCATAATATTTTCAATTAATTCAGTTATTTTCCTTGTTCTCTCTTTTCTTTCTCAGTAACATAATACCAATTCCTGCAAAATTGTTTTTAAAAGGTGATTTTTCAGTAGTGCATAGGATGTCTTTATTTTTTCACTGTCACTACTTTAAGTTACTCTAATAAACTAAATATATTTCTCTTCTTTATGTATGCCTATTCTTTCCCACTACAACTCAACCTGTGTACAAACATAAATAAATAAGATACTTTTGTAATCTTACCTTGTTTTAATTAAAAACATTTAGTGGTTCACTAAGTTCTGAGAAATGCTGCAAATCATGTTCATTCAAAGCCTCGCATAGTTTATATCACAGATTATACTAAAAGGTATAATCAAGACACACATTTTTCTCTAGTATGTACTGCCACCTAACACATAGAAGCTATATTTTTAAATCACCAAATACATTGTGAATATAACAGAATATTTCAGTGTAAAATAATTATCCCCAATTTTGATTAAAGCCCAACATTTGAATACCATATTTCAGGACACAAGTAAAGGAGGTGGTGGTGTAGTAAATAGATTTTACAACTCTCAATCCTCATGATCCCAATAAAGCTATAAAAGATTTAGAGAGAAAGATGTTAGCAAGCAAATTTTGAGGAACTTTTGGCATGTTGTGTATCTCTCTCCCCTAAAGGGAGGATGTCAAAAGAGAGGTCATAAGGAAATCTTGTGTAGAGCAGGGCTTTCTGATAATTTGGAATAACAGTGAGATGTCAGACTTATAACTGAGGCTTCAAAATGGTAAGTGACTCACTGGTGAGCACTTCTAGCACTGGTGTAAAACAGGCATTTCTTTATCAGGACTAATGTTCGACTCTGTATTTCACAGGGTAAAATCCAGACCTCCACTGGATTGAATGGTGGCCACCTACAAAAGAGGTACCATGTGTGGTTTAGATTTTGCCAAGGAGTTAGCTGCTGAAAGTTAGACAGAGGGTTAAACAGAGTCAGGTTCCCTGTTGGGAGGAAATGCAGAGAACCAGGAGTCAAAGACAATGTCTTAAACTGTCAGCAAGTTCGCATCACCTTCTATAAATGAGAGATCTCCAGAGACTGCAGCAGGGGGAGGTTTCTGAAATAAAACAATGGAAACACTTGGTTTAAATGAAGGTTTGCTGCAAAGCCTTGCAAGTACAATGCTGTCCCACAAGTGTACCAAGAAACAAAAATTACCTGCCCCATCCCTTGACTCTACCATTAAAGGACTAGCAATCCAGCTTTGCAAAGTTGTGCAAGAGGAGAAAAAGGGAATGCTTGAGAGAGGGCATTCCTCTCTCTGGGAAGAAGAAATAGAGTTCACAGAACTTGTCCCAAATTTTTCTAAGGACAAGTGAAGAATATGAGGTAAATTTATTCATGCAGAGGCAAAAATAATTTCATCTTGGTAATGCATCCTGTATGTCCTGGTCATTCAGTATCATCAACTTTCATAATTATGTAATAGATCATTATGTATTTGATATACTATAATTTTACTCAGTCAATGCTTTCTTTTTTTTTTTTTTTTTTTTTTTTGACAGGCAGAGTTAGACAGTGAGAGAGAGAGAGAGAGACAGAGAGACAGAGAGAAAGGTCTTCTTTCCGTTGGTTCACCCTCCAATGGCCGCCGTGGCCGGCATGCTGCATCAATGCGAAGCCAGGAGCCAGGTGCTTCCTCCTGGTCTCCCATGCGGGTGCAGGGCCTAAGGACTTGGGCCATCCTCCACTGCACTCCCGGGCCACAGCAGAGAGCTGGCCTGGAAGAGGGGCAACCGGGACAGAATCCGGTGCCCCGACCGGGACTAGAACCCGAGATGCCAGCACCACAGGCAGAGGATTAGCCAAGGCGCCAGCCCACCTTCTGTTTTCTTACTTAACTGCTCTCAAATTGTTACCAACCAATTCAAATAATTACATCAACCTGGACATTCAAAGGCAGCTCAGTATATGATTTTGGAGTTAGACAGCAAACATGTATTTCAGAAATACATTGAGTTTGTTTTAAACCTCTTCTAAATTTTAGAATTTTAGATGGTTTATATGAAAGTAGAATTTCAATCTTCTATGAGACACTTATTCAAGAACAAAATAATACTTCTCCAAAACTAAACAATAAAAAGATAAAACAGTATAAAATGTAACCCGATACATTCAACTTTTAGACAAAATTGCAAACACGTGGTACTCAATATATGCTCATGGTTAAAATGTAAGACTTCATGGGAAAAAGAATATGCTTTTCAAATGCTAATCAAAGTTCATAAGGTCTCTAAATAATGATCACTACAGCTACTCATTTGCAAGAAATTGCTTACTTTAACATGAGCAGCTCATATTGGCTAATGTTGGAGAAATGTAAGTAGCATACTAAAATATGCTGGTTCTCAGAATTATTTATTCACTCATTTTGTTTTTATTCATTTTAGTTAGTTACATAGAGATATTCATTCCACCTTAAAGCTTATAAAACCTTTATAAGACAAGTACCATTAATATCTCCATTATACTGAAGAAGAAGTTGAGAATCAGCACCAGAGCTGGGTTAAGACCACAGAGCTGGTGGTGGAACTTGGATTTGAAACCAATCTCAATGTATTTTTAATTTCCTTGCTACAGTGTTTTGTACATTTTTTTCTCTAATAAAAAAAGAAAATACATCTCTCTGGCATTGGTTTTATGATGTTGCTATGGATACAGAATGGAACTCAAAATAGAATGCATTTATAAATGTATTTAACATATCAAACAAAATTAATCTAAAGATTTACTTCCTAGAAAGAAATTCTGTGGACCTCACCTCTAAGTACCGACCTTTGCATTCTAAACAAAAAATATACCTAGAGTTGCCTTGAAAGTTAGTCTGTTTTCAATTACAAAATATTCTCCAACATGTCTTCCAAGTGCTAACAGGATACAATAGCTTGGAATTCTATGGGTAAAATTTGTATTGCAGAATTCTATTAGGAAAATCCAAGGAAGAAGACTATAGAGAAATCTGTGTGTATACAGTGGTATAGGTTGTGTGTGGGTGGGTGGTTGTAAAGAGTTTAATAATTATATATTTAATTATACATGCTTAAATCCCCACTTGAATATATGCCTGAAAGACATCAAACCATCAATCAAATCTGAAGGACATCAAATTAGTCATAATGCAATCTCATAAGGTTTCATTTTAAATAATTCATTTAGATTTCTCTTGATCTTTGTTCCCTTATTGTAAAATAAGAAAACAATTAATTGCTTCTCATATATACACTTTAGAGTCTTAAGTTAGTTGATCCATGCATAACCCTTTTATTAGATTTATTAAGGGCTATTGTGAAGGGGAAAAGTTTCAACAAGGCTTTCATGGATTCCTTAATTGTCATTAATAGCCAACTATTTTATATGAAAGTTTATGGTAAAGCCAAGGCAATAAGATTATACATTTTTGTTATCCATAAGGCACATGCAGTACATTAGAAGAAAAACAAAACTTCATATACAAAATTCCTTTCTTTTCATAATGAAAGACTAGACATTTTAAAGGGTTTTCTTGTCAAAATACCACTTGAATCTAGTTAAAACATATTTAATATATTTCTAGGTTTGTAGGAAGCAATGAAGATATCTAAAGGACAAATATATATATATAACATTTATATAAGTATCATAAACATCATAATGAAGAATTAAACAAAATAGTTGAGATAATAAATGTTGCTTAGCTGGACACAATCAGTCCACAAAGTATATTCACTTCAAAACACCATGTTGTACATGATAAAAAAAATTTAATACTATCTGAATTTGAAAGAAAGATTGCAGCCATCATGATCTAGAACAAGAACACTGATAGTGAGTGGTGAGTACATGGAAGCTTGTATTACCTGGGAGATTAGAGCTTTGGCATACTGCAAAATAATGCACTAAAATGTCAACTTTCACATTTAACTTGGATAGTTAAACTGTGGGAAAAAATTGTCTGAGGCACATTGATCCATGACTCCTAACAAAGAAAATGCCTATGGTCTCTGGAGAAAACATCCCAGGTTTAAACCTTCAGCATTCTCACAATTAAAGTTCTACTGAAAGTTTATATACAACAAATTTACCTCTTAAACATTCGAAGAAAGAAGTCTCCACTACTGAGAAGTAGGGCTGGGAAAAGCCATATGTTTAGCTACTCTGGGATGTTAGAAGGATTGTCAACCACTGCAACAAAGTGTTGCTAATTTCCATCACCTGGTCATGTTACCATAGGGCACATTTCTTTCACAATCAAATCACCATCTTGTCATGTGCAATTGACCAATCATTTGTGGAGAGATGATGCAAGTTATGAAAAATTCTATTACTCATTAACTTCCTCTCACCAACGTTAGGATACATTGAAACTTCTACCTGAATGAACTACATAATGCCAATTGCCAGATATTGATCTTCCAAATCCACCATTCTTTACAACTTCGTAAATTAGTGCCATAATAGAAATCAGGACTCACCCTTCCATCATATATTGATATATGGTATATTGATTTATGATGGAAATAAATACTGATTTATACCTACCTACTTAAATGTGGAGTCACAAATTCCTATTTTAATCAATGGCTATATTTCATTATTATCATTATTTTACTCTATAGTTGTATGTCACCACATGCTCTGAATACATTTGTACTTTATTGCATAATAAGTTGCTCCTGGCTCATCATCCTTTTATCCCCATCTCAGTCTAAATCATTTCTAAAGGCGCTCTATTTCTTTTTCACTGGAAGATGATATTTCAAACTAGTATCTGGGCACTGGGTGACCCTGCTTCTTAGTTATGTCAGGAACCAACATGGAATTATTAACTTAAAATTGTGCAACATTTGCTACTTATAAATTATACATAAAAAAATTAAGGCTAGGACTCATATAAATGAATAAATTAATTGAGCAGATACACACAATACACACCGCACACAAATGTATAAACATTTACACATACTTTTATGAATTCACACACGTCCCTTCACACACATCTAAAAACATATTTATGTGCATGGATACGTATATATAACCTTCACATCATACTCATATTAATACTTCCAATTCCCCTCTGTAGTAGACAAGCTAATACTCCCCTCTCAAAGACATCTCTTTCCAAGTCCATGGAATCTGTGACGAAGTTAGAGATCTAGAGTTGGGATGAAGATTCTGATTCTAACATAACCACAGGGTTCCAATAAGAGGGAGAGAAAACAGTCACAGTCACATAGAGAAATGTAAGCAGAAGCCAGTTAAATAGAGTTGATGCTGCTACACTGCTGGCTTTTAAACAGCATTAGGGCAAAGGGAAGAACTGTAGTTAACCTCTGGAAAAGTTAAGAAAACAGATTCTTCCCTACAGCCTGCAGAAGAAATTAGTTCTTCTGACACCTTGACTTTAGCCCAGTAGAGTCTAATTTTGGATTTCTCACTTCCAGAAATGTAAGAGAATATACTTGTACTATTCTAAGTGATCAATTTTGTGGTAATTTGTTGTAACAGCAATAGAAAACTAGTATTTACCAAAGGACAATAATATTGTTTTTATCTTTCCTCTGTTCTATGTTTGTAACCTCTTTTACCAGCAGTCAGAACCTTGGAGACTCATAATATCCCCATTCTATTTACTATATATTCAATATATTTTATCTCTTTTCTATTCAGGACTAAGGAGCAGAAAGCAAAATTTACAAATATCTCATATCTTCACTCAGAGTCAGAGACATAACCAATTAAAATTAATGCTATTTCTCTGTAAGCATTCCTCTCTGTAGCAAATTATTATGGCTCCAAAACAGTTATGCTCAGAGACTGCAATTCTTTGACTTCTCTCCAATTAATGCCAGTGTTTTCCCAACTAAAGAATGCATTCATTCAGCTTTGGTAACACACAGTTCTAATTATGTAAGCAGGGTAATTTTTACATAACCTTGGCACATTCCCATTGAGTCAGAAAGTAGCATTTACAAGGCTAGGTTTATAACTGGTGTTAGCTTGCTACCAGTTAGAGGGTTTTGAGAAAGAATTTATGTAATTTCTCAGAAATGGTGATGAATTTCACAGCAGAAGAGCATTTGGGGACAACATTCTGCTTCTATAACTGTTGCTTCTTAGGTACCCAGCTTTTAAAAATAAGACTCATTTTTACTAAATTTTCTTAAAGTATAAGATCTATAATTTCTCATCTGAGATACTACAGAGTGGGTGGGAGAGGGAGAAGGACTAAGAGCCAATGAACCAAATCTATTACATCAGAAGGTATTTTCACCAATTGCATTCTCGTCTCCGGAAATACGAGCAAACTGAAGTGTGAGAGTGTAAGCTGGCTACCAATTATGAATTTACAACTTATTTGAAAACTATATTGATTGTATGGGTGCTATTTTTAATATTATAATATCAGCAGAGTCCACAATACTTCACTTCACCACTGCCTTGGAACTTTAATTTGGGAAATAAAAATTGACACATTTATGATTTACCATTTCTTATGCAATCTACTTCACGTTTGATGAGACTATTAAGCCCAGAAAATTCTTTGCACAAATTGAGGGTGTGTTTGCATGTGTGTGTGTGCATGTGTGTGTATGAATGCGCCTGTATACAAGACAGCTTCAAAAAATTCATGAAAATGGAAATAAAAAACAATGTATATTTTCTAAGCATTTTGTGAAGCAATAACTTATTACCCCAAATTTACTAGAACTTAGGGAGAATATAAAAATTAGACAGTGACTATAGGTATCAATAAATTGTATCTTCAAAACAAATTGAAACACAAAGAATAGAATCATGATTTTTCTTGCCATCAAGAATGTTATTCCAGGAAATTAAAAAAATATACAAAATCCATTTCATATTTTTTCTACAAGTAAAATGTCTAATCTTAACTCTACTGGAGAATCATCTTTTAAGTTCTAAGTCACAGCTTATTATTACTGTTTGTGTGAAATAATATGGCCCAGAGTCCCCTGATGAGGGAAGCTCTGGACAAGCTGATCTCCTATGTAACTGGCAATATTATTCATAAAACTCACAAGAATGAAAGGATGGGGTAGAGACGTAGTAGAAGTGAGGCTTTAGTGGCCATATATGACAGCCATGAAATCATTCTCTCAGTCCGCAAACATGTGTCATGTCCCTACTACTTGTCAAGTCGTGTACTATGTACTAATGAACAACACAAATATGTTTCCTAGGCATTTACACGCCAGTGGGATGAGATAGTGAATACAAAGTAAGTAACTCTGTGGATAATTCCAGGTGGCACAAAACCAAAATGTGATAAAAGAATGGAATTTAGAATGCAGTAATGTGAGAGCTGTTTAGGAAGGATGGGGTATTGTGGTAGTGAAGTGTGGCGTGATAAATGAAGGAACATCCACTATGCTAGCAGTGGTAGAACATTTTAGGGAAAGGCCACAGCAAGTACTAAAGTGAAAAAAAAAAAACCAAAACACCGTTACTCTGCTGTGGTGTCTTAGGGACACTCCACAATCACAGACTTAAAAGCTCCTGGTTATCATTAGGTTCCTAGGGCGACTGTCTTAGGAGATGACAGTAATTTACATACTGATTTGCCTCAGCCTAAATTACTAAACACTGTCTTCCTCTGACCTCTAACATTTTAGCCATTAGTGTCCACAACAATCTCAGATTTCGAAGAGAGAAGAACAATACTGAAAAAAGAAAATGACTGAATTGTGTGCCTGGATTCAGCCTCAACCGAAAGGAACAAAAAGCACAAAATGCAGTCTCATGAAATATATGCTGCTATGGTATGATACTGTATCCAATCTAAAAATCACATAGTGAAACCCAACCTCGGCTGGTGCTGTGGCTCAATAGGCTAATCCTCCACCTGCGGTGCCAGCACCCTGGGTTCTAGGCCTGCTCGGGGTGCTGGATTCTGTCCCGGTTGCTCCTCTTCCAGTCCAGCTCTCTGCTGTGGCCCAGGAAGGCAGTGGAGGATGGTCCAAGTGCTTGGGCCCTGCACCCTCATGGGAGACCAGGAGGAAGCACCTGGCTCCTGGCTTCAGATCAGCGCGGTACGCTGACCGCAGCAGCCACTGAGGGGTGAACCAATGGAAAAGGAAGACCTTTTTCTCTGTCTCTGTCTCTCTCTCTCTCTCTCTTTCTCTCTCACTATCCACTCTGCCTGTCAAAAAAAAAAAAAAAAAAAAGGAAAAAAGAAACCCAACCCTCAGGGCATCACATAAATATATGGGGGCTTTTGGAGGAGATTGGGTCATAACTAATCCACCCTCATCAATGGGATGAAAATCCACGTAAAGAAGATTTGAGGGAGCCTTGTGGCCCCTTCTGCCACAAGGACTCATAAAATGCACAGTCATGAGAAATGTACCTTCACTAGATGCCAAAATCTGCTGATGGCTTGATTTTGGACTTCCTAGCCTTCAGAAGTGCAAAGAATACATTTCTGTTGGTTCTACATTACTCAGCTAGATATTCTGTTATAGCAGCCAGAATGGACTAATACGTGAGCACCAATTAATGTTTTCTTATTTCTAATTGCATCAAAATTGGTAAAGAAATGACAGTAAAGGACTTAAAATGATAAGAATAAATAATAAAATGTAACAAAATAACAATAACAAGGAATACTTCCATATTATCAACCTTCCTCTAAGCATTATACTAAGTGCTTTTTCTATTAAAATTGACAATAGAAATTCTCACAACTTTAGAATTACCAATAGGCAATTGGTATCTGACTTTAGCAATGAGATACATGTGAAAATTTGAGAATGAAAGAGGAAGCCAAGAAGAATTGTATCTATCAGCCCACAGAACCCAGAACAAAATTATAAACACCAAGAGCACTGAATGGGCTACACAAGGTGGGACTTCAAATCAGGATTAACTGAACCATATTTTGAGTAATGGGAATCCCCTCAACATATCTAATTGCACAAGGCACACATCTTAATTTACCTTTGTTCCTTCTTTTCCCTCACTTATTTTACCAATTTACCACCTGGTCCCTTCAATCCAACTTCGAACAAAAGCCAAATTTTTCCAGTTTTCACCATTCTTCCTACTTCAACATTTTAACAGCCAATGATCCAATCACCTCTCATGCAGATCACAACAACACATTCTCACTACCCTTGCTTCTTGCACTCGCATCCTATACAGAGCAATTTACAAATGGAAATTAAGTTATATCCCCGTGGTTTTTAAAACAATCCAATGTTTTCTCTCAAACTCAAAAATATCCAAATTTTACAACCAGGTTGGAAGGTTCTTTGTGTTCCACTAGCATCTGTTTTCCTCTTTCCAAACTCATCAATATCCTGCACTGGATTTTTCATCTTTTCTTTCCAGGGATAGCTCCCAATTATCTGTATTAGGTTATTTTCTGACACATTAATTCTTCTGAGATGTTTCTCTTTAATACCTGGCAGCCTCATATTCATTCTCTTTCCTAACACAGCTTTCATTCTGTGTATTACTTATCATTATTTCTATTTTGGGTTAGGTAGTTTTTATTTTGTACCAAGTGTATCAGATGAGACTCTTTTTGTCCCAGAGTTTTAGCAGGATAGAGAAAAAGCTTAGAATAATATAGAAGTCACCAAGCATCTAGCATCCTAATACTACCTGATAGAGAAGGTTTGGATTGATCCAGAGTTGCCTATGAATCGGTATGTGTGTGTTGTTCTTGGTACTTTTAACAAACCCATTTGACTGTTTCATGTATTACTATGTACTACTAGCTTTATTAGTAATGTAGGTGATTGTTTTGTCTCAATGTTCCATACTTTTGATACATTTATTGCTTTTATTTCACAACTCAAGACCCTTAGAATAACAAGAATGCATTTTGATACATTTGGACTCACTATTCCTATTGCCATATCCCCTTTTTTGTTGTTTTTTTTTTTTTTTCAGTTTTTTAAAACTGTGCTTTGTACATTTTCAGGAGACTTAAGGAATGACATCATTCTGCCTAGCTGGATGACTCCTGGCTTCTGCTAGTTTTGAGAGCTCTGCTGTAACTTTGCTGTCATATTTTTCTTATCATTTCATGCACATCCATCTTTTTTCTTCCTTTCTATATGTAAAAACTAAACAATAAAGTAGTTAAGCATAATATGTGCCCAATCCTTCATCTTCTAATCATCTGTTATATTTTATATTTGTGTTCACGATGTATCTTTGCTTGAGCTCACAGAGTAGCAAGAAGATTTAATGCTGAATCTTCCACGGTTTGAATATTTTAAATGTGGCCGGCTATAATTCACTCACTTATTTGTGCTTGTAAGCATTCAATTTCTGCAAAAACACTATTTATTGACAACTTATTTCTAGTCAGGTAAAAGTCAAAACACTTGTATGACTATATTATGCATGAGTGGGAAAAGTCCCTTGGGGCTGCTGCCATGGCTCATTTGCTTAATCGTCTGCCTGAGGCGCCAGCATCCCATATGGGTGTCGGGTTCTAGTCCTGGTTGCTCCTCTTCCAGTCCAGCTCTCTGCTGTGGCCTGGGAAGGCAGTGGAGGATGGCCTAAGTGCTTGGGCTCCTACACCCGCATGGGAGACCAGGTGGAAGCACATGGCTCCTGGCTTTGGATCAGCATAGCTCCGGCCATAGCAGCCATTTGGGGGGTGAACCAACTGAAGGAAGACCTTTCTCTCTCTCTCTCTCTCTCTTTCTCTCTCACTGTCTAACTCTGTCAAGTAAATAAATAAATAAAAATTTAAAAAAGAGTCCCTTATACTCTTAGAACATAGTAGTAGTCCCTTATACTCTTAGAGCATAGTAGTCCATCATTTTTATCATGACCAAAATCATAATGCTGAATAAATTTCAAAGCAACCCTAAAGAAACTATATAATTAAAGCTCAAATAATTATTATTTAGCTTTTATCTGCTTCTATCAAAATTTGTTTGTTTTTTTCTTAAAAGTTACTCTTGCTAATTTCTGTTGTGTGAAGGAACTCCCTCTTTCAAAGGAATAGATTAATTCCAGGAGCAGAGATGAGCCTAAAATGGTATTTAGACATATACCAATATATACCATACAACTACCATATATGCCAGTTTTATGTTGCTTTAATTCACCCAGGTTCATAAGACATGAAAAATCCCCAAAACTGATGACACAGCTGTGAAACATGGAAATAAATAAGATTGCTTAAGATCAAGTTAAATTAACAACATCGGAACATTTAGTGTGTTTGGAAAGTATAGAAGTACTGCCTCAACCAAAAACTCAGAAATTTGTAAACATCTTGCTAGTTGTCTTCAATCATCTCATAAAATCTTACTTGCTTCTTACTCCTTAATTGCTAATATTTGTTCAAATATAATGCTTATTCTTCCATTTTTTATCTGCATGAAACTTTTAACAAGTCTTTTGTTCTTTTACATTAATTTATATCAATAACAAATACTAACATGGCATTATGTATAGTCCTGAATACTGTGTGTACTTGTTTGTGTCTCTGTGTGCATATAAAACATTTTAAATTCTTATTGCACTGTGAGTCAGGTGACATTATATTCTATGTTACATATTTAAACTGAAACATGTATGTGAAACTTGCCCCCAAATCACAAAATTAAGTAGTACCAGAACTTTGATTTAAAATCTTAACAATTTAGTCCTAGAATCTAAATTGTCTGATATATTGGATAATCACCAAAATTGCAGTGACTTTTTAACAAGCCCTTACACCTGTCTCTGTATGTACATGTGCTTATAAATATGGGTGTGTATATAGGTACAAGTATACATATATGTGTATAAATCTAGAAAAAGAATTAGATGCTGGAAATAAGACAATGTGAAACAAGTTGCAATTCCTAGGTAGTGAAAATCAATTTATGATTAATTTTATTTCATCTTTTATTATTTATATTATCCAAATATTCTATAAAGCATGTATTGCTCTTATTTCCATGAAACAACATATTTTAAAATAAGATGGCTATAATATGAATATAAATTTTTAACAATGAGCTAGCTAATCTAAGAAAAACTTCAGATGTTCATTCTTATTTCACAATCATTTTCCTTGTTACTTTTTTGGCACCAAACAGCATTTGTTTCATATTTTATGCATTCACCTTTCTTATCTAGTCTATCTCTGCAAACAGAATATTAATCTCCAAGAACAGAAATTCTTGCTCATCTTATTCATGGCTCTACTTAAAACAGTCTGGTATATTATACAAAATCAGTAAGCATCTGATTGGAAAATGTAATTGAAACAGTGTAAAAAATAGTTACTTAAAAATTCAAGGTTGAAAGGGAAAATGCATTCACTAAAGATGCTGTACAAATGTTCAGTGATATCTATAAAAAGAAAATATATTGGTTCAATTTCATTTATGCAAGTCTGGCTTTTCATCATGAAGAGTACAGAAAGGCTAGAAATCCATTATTTAAAATTTTCAGTTATTGCTGGTACATATGCTGTTCTAAATAGGACAATTTAATTTTCATCCAAGAATGGGTCTAATCTTCACATCAAAAGAATCTGACTATAAAAAGAGAGAGAAAAGAATATTCACTCACCTAATTTTATTTTCTCTTTGGTAAGGCAGCAGGATACAAAGGATGAAACCACTGATGTTCACAAATCTAAAATTTTTGAGTATAGAAGGATACCTCCCACATGATGACTCATTGATACACCAAACTAGGGAACTACTCCAACTTAGAAAATAACAGTAAATAAAGGAGTAGTTAATTTGTTTTTCTGTGAAAATGGAAGATGCTTTCTTTATACAGAGTTAGATTAGAGAAAATAAGGGTAAGTTTACAAAAAAGAGATTAATTGGGATGAGCGCTTAATTTGTTGAAACTGCTTAAAAACAAAAGAATCAGAGTTGGCTGAAAATAAAAGATCAAATTAGAGGAGTACCCTAAAGGTGATCAAGGGTATTAGAGTAAAGGCAAGGAAGAAAATGGCAAAAACTTGATAACTGACCACATGAATTATCTTATTTTTAAGGATGAAAATATGAAAAACAAATCATCTTTATATTATGGCTATTAACTTCAGAGATTTCAAACTGAAATAAAGAAACTTTAAAAATAGTAGTAGGGATTCAGGAGGAGCAAAACAGAGGAAAGGTAGGGGAAGAAGGAGAAAAAGGAGACAGAATAAGAAGAATTGGAGGACAACAGTGGGAACAAAATTGTAAATTAGAAAATAGCAGAGGTAGGTGTTTTGTCTAGCAGTTGGATGCCAGGTAACATGGCCATGTCCCTTATGGGAGTACATGGGACTGATTCCCAGCTCCAACTGCTGACTCCAGTTTCCTGCCAGCGCAGACCGTGTGAGGCATTTTGCACTGAAGTTATTGGCATAAACTATGGTACAGAGATAATTCAGAAATTAATGTTGGAAGCCATTTTATTATTATAGGAAAGTCCTGGCTAATAGATTCTTCAAGGCCACTCTGTAAGACACACAGAACTATTTATTATTACTTACAAAGTAATTGTATTCATCTTGATGAAACAAAGCAAATTCTCTCTACAGTTTTAGACAAGAGTTCTCTGTCACTGGGGATTTTGGTCCATTCACATGGAATTCAATATTTATGGAATTCAGGATTTTAATGGGAGAGAGAATCAACACAGAAAATATCCTGCCATTTAGAGACATGCATGGCCTTGAAAGCAGGTATAAGAAAGAGACAGAGAGACAGTCTTTTTTGGAGCTATAGTAATATCTTAAAATTAATATAAAAATTCTATAAAATATTGGCAAGGGGTACAATGAGAGATATGATCTACTAAATGTATTTATTGAGAGAATGAGACAATTTGGTGGGCTGGCAAAACTAGGGATATTTTTATTCCCAAGAAATTTGTATTTTGGAATATCTTAGAGATATTTATGAGTTCTTCCATAATCCAGGTGAGGAAGCTTCAACCCATAACAATTAAATAACTTCCCATCAGTGACTTTGATGGTTAATGACATAATGCAAACCTATCAGGTAATCCATGTGCAAGTCTTGATTAACTGATGTCAGTTTTCAGGGTCTGTGTTAGTCAGGGTTCCAATATAATGTGGTTAAAATATTTATATACAGATGTTAGCAAATTTAATCTCTCCTAAGGTTTCTCTCCTTGTCTTATGAACACCAGCTTTCATCTGCTTCTCTACATGCCTTTTATCTGTGTACATGCATCCTTTGGTGCCTCTTGTTCTTCTTAAAAGAACAACAATAATATTGGATTATGGTCATGCATGTGTGACCTCATTTAATCTTAAATCAACTCTAAAGGTTCTATCCATACTTGCAGTTAGGTTTCAACATGTGAAATCAGGAGAAGGGGAGCACAATTCATTCAATAACAAGATTAAGTCAATAGGATAACCTAATTCTCAAAAGAGAAAGAAGCTACAGGTATTTGGGTAAACAGCAGCTTGTCTTGAGAAGTTTTTCCACTTAAGTGCCTATTTTTGGTCCACTAAGCCAAAACTTTGACAGTTCTTACAGTACTGCCTTTATGATAAGGTTGAAATTATGTCTCTCATGATGGAACAACTATCCAGTTATATAGTTTGCTCTTGATTGACACATGTACATTTTTGTCCCACCAATTGAGCTGTTAAAATCTTGGGAATAGACGTCCATATCAGGCATTCAGCCAGTCATTGAGGTACTGTTAATGCTAAGAATATAATTTAAAGAGGATACATGTAACACTTTTCCTCATGAGGAAACTAACAATTAATATAATACAAAACAAATGGTGCTGGGAAAACTGGATCTCTGCATGCAGAAGTGTGAAGCAAGACCCATAACTTACACCTTACACAAAAATCCACTAAAAAGGATCAAAGACCTAAATCTCGCAACCAACACCATCAAATTACTAGAGAACATTGGAGAAACCCTGCAAGACATTGGCATAGGAAAAGAGTTCTTGGTCAAGACCCCAGAAGCACAGGTAATCAAAGCCAAAATTGACAAATGGGATTACATCAAGCTGAGAAGCTTTGGTACTATAAAAGAAACAATAAGCAAGGTGAATAGGCAATCAACAGAATGGGAGAAATATTTTGCAAATCATGCAACTGATAAAGAATTAATATTTAGAATCCATAAAGAGCTCAAGAAACTCAGCAACACCAAAAGAAACAATCCAGTTGAGAAATGGGCAAAG